CATCGGACCATGTGTTCCCCGAATCGGTTTGGAAAGCCTTCGGGGAACACGTGGGCGTCTTGAAAGTCATCTTGGCCTTGAAGGCCTCTTGGGCGATCTTTCGGCGATCTCTGGGGGCTCTTGGCCCGTCTCGGGCCGTCGGAAGGCCGACAAGAAGGAAATCTCAAAATCCGTCAAAAACCTAAGGACAATCAATGTTTTTGGCCTCTTCTGGCCTTCCTGGAGGCCCTCTTGGGGGCCTCTTGGGCCCTTTTGGGCAGCTTCGAGCCAACTTCGGCCATCTTGGTGGGTTCCTGGCACGTCTGACGCCGTCGGGAGCCGTCTTGGGGGCCTTTCTGGGCCAACGGGGGACCCTCTTGGGGCGCTTCGGGGCCGTCTTGGAGGCCATCTTGGGCGTCTTGGAGGCCATCTTGGGCGTGTTGGAGGCCTCTTGGGCCGTCTTGGGGCCCTCTTGGGGCCATCTTGGAGGCCACTTGGGCCGTCATGGGGCCCTCTTGGGGGCCTCTGGGGCGATCTTGGGGGCCTCTAGGGCCGTCTTGAGCCGTCGGAATGCCGAGAAGAAGCACATTCCAAAATCCTTCAAAAACCTAATGGAAATCAATGATGTTGGCCTCTTCGGGCCCTCCTGGAGGACCTCTTGGAGGCCTCTTGGGCCGTCTGGGAGGCCTCTGGGGGCCTCTTGGCCCGTCTTGGGCCGTCTTGGACTCTCTTGGGCCGTTTTGTAGGCCGTCTTGGACCATCTTGGGCGGACTTGGAGGCCATCTTGGACCATCTTGGAGGCCATCTTGGGCCAGCTTGGCCATCTTGGAGGCCATCTTGGAGCCGTCTTGGGCAGAAAATTGGGGAAGTGAGGTCCGTGGAAAAAATCCCAGGACCCCGGCGGGACGGGCCGAAACCCACTGGGAGAGTTCTTTCGGAAAAAGAACCAAAACCAAGACCGATAGGATTTGGCACGCCGGGCACCCCTTTGCTGAAGCCAAAGGGGGCGGCGGATCTAGTGCCTTCGGCTCATCCCGCCACCGTGCCTGGGTCGTGGAGAGGGGGGCCTCTTCGAAGCCTCTCGGGCGCTCTCGGAAGGCCTCTTGGGAGGCCTCTCGGGCCCCTCGTGGGGGCCTCTTGGAGGCCTCTTGGAGGTCTCTTGGGAGCCTTCGGAGGGACTCTTTGGGGCCTGCTGTCGGCTCGGGGGGCATGTTGGAGGAAATGGCTGGAAATGTCAGTTCGTGCTCCTCCCCTCTTGGGCCCCTCTTGGGGGCCTATTGGGCTCTTTTTCCCTGGGGGTGTCGGGGTCGTCTTGGGACGACCTTGGGTGCTTCTTGGGCTGTCTTGGACGCTCTTCAGGCCGAAAAGGTGTTTTGTTTGCGGCGGAAATCACTAAAACAAAAAAAACGTAGCGCTCTCCATTGGTTTTGCCTTCTCTGGCCGGTCCACCACATGAGCAGGAGACGAAGATGTGTCCAATTGCATCGACATTCGCGCGTAAGCTGCCCCCGGAAGGCCGCGCTTAAGCGCCCTCGCGCTGTTGGCCAGCGTATGCCGCGGCGTCAGGTCGCTATGCCGTCTCGCGTAAGGCCCGATTCTTTTCGGACGGCCGATTAGGCCATCAAGGGGGCTTCAGGGCGGGCCCCGTGGATACCATGCCACGCTCCCGAGGCCTCTGGGAAACAGGTCACGCGGGGAAAAAGAGGACCGCCCGGACACGCCCAGGAGCTCCCGGGACTCGGAACACTCAGCCCCCGGAAGAACACCCAAACCGCTCCACACAGAGCACTTGCGTTCGTGGGCGAAGCACACGTCCGTGTCCGCGGCCTGGCGGTGCGGGCTCCTGGGCCGCGACCCCGCGGATGCGGGGCGTCGTGTTCGCGGATGCCCCGCGCGGAGCGTGCCCGTACGACCACGCATCCGTGATGTCGCGCCTTGGAATCTAGACCGCGAGGTCACGGATACGGATATATTCGCCTCTCGTGATGCGCAGGGGCATGGTCAATAGTATGATTACAGATGAGAGTGGCACGCGGTTGCCATTTGATCAGATGTCAAACGAGCGCCATAGGACATCATGACAGGAGGGCAACGGCAGTTTCGTCAGAACGTGCCGACCGAGTTGTCCTGAACATGGCAGGGAGCATAGCAGGCATAGTTGAGTGGCATTGAGGACACATCATTTTGGCAGCAACATTCGCATACAAACATGTGTCAGTCATGGTGAGCAGAGCACGCGTGCCAACAGTATATTCAACATGCACTGTACCATAACAGTCGGAATTCACGTAATACCATCGGCCGTGACATAGCGGTTCCAAACATCGATGGTAGGCGAACAAGGTTGCATCACAATGTGCGGCATGGGAGATGCAGAGGAATCTTGTGATTTATATATTCCGAACGTCACATCCTGTGATTTCGACATGCACCCGATTGGAAGCATGGCAGACAAATCTGCACATACGCATGGTGCACCAACACATCAGGGACAAGATAAACACGCGAGCGACAGACGCAAGTGATAGACGAAATCAATCGCCAAAACCGACAGAAAGCTGGATCGCAGCAAGACGCATTGACAAACGCGTTGTTGGAGGTGCTTGTCTCACACATGTCTGCAAATATGGGACACGAGCATCACATTCGAATGAGAGAAACATGAGCGTACGAAACTTGAGCACGACAGTTTCAAGTTGAACTGCTGTAGAAGCACTAGGAACTACAGCAGCAGAACGCTGCCCGAGCAAAAGGCAGACAACGTTTGCACATGTTAGTTATGTAACTGATGGAGGCTGTGTCAGTTCCATCTCGAATCGCATAACTGACATATGCGGCAGTGACAGAGGTGTGCAGGAATTGAGCAGCAAGATCGTATCGCACAGCATGCGGACCGCGACACACGACATTTGTATACGAAAACAGCAGGCGAAACCCGCAGTAAATGTATACCTCATACGAAGCGCATTTTCGCACACACACACACACGCGCAGATACGAATCTCTTTCTCTCTCTCTCTCTCTTTCTTCTTTTTTTTTGGGGGGGGGTCTTCTCTCTCTCTCTCTCGTTATATTTACATGTATATATATATGAATATATATACATATATATATATATATATATATATATATATATATATATATCTGCTCATATGTATCACGCGCCCACCGTGTCGAAACTGTTATACGAACACGTCGGCAACATGTATATCATGGCAGACGAATGCGACATACTGGCATACCGGTTGCCATAACACCTTGCATGTCACGATTGGGGACAGAGCGACATGATTCAGAGCGTGAATTACCTACCCCGCTTTCGCTTCCAGCCATAACCAAGTCACACCACGCGCCTCCTCGTCAAGCGGCATGACGGGTGCGAAGGTGGTCAAAAGCGAGGTCTATTCGTTGGCCTATTAATGACACAACAGGATGGCCAGACAACAGTACGGAAAGACGGAGAGGAGCAGTCCTCTGGTGTCTGTATACACTTATATACACGTAACGTCCGAGCATGTTAAACTTCAGGCGTGTTCTCGTCAAATCTTGACATTGCAAAGAGACAAGTATCACGAAGTTGGTTGCATGGACAGTACCATACGTAGCACTGTCAAGGAGCTGATGAGAGATAGCAGACATACGTAGAACAGCCCAGGACATACCGAGGACATACCGCATGCGGAAATCAGCCAACACATACCATTCGTAGGCGCAATGAGAGGCGACAGAAGAAACATATGACATATGCCATTTGACAAGGCACATCAGATTGCAGACGCAAGCTGGGAATTGGAAGGGCATGTATGCACATCAGTTCTTTGATGATGATCGTTTGAGGCCATCTGGCTGCCTCTTGGGTTTCCATTGCAGTGGCGGCCTGTTTACGGCTTATATTCTTCCAGGATGGGGAGGTTTGGTGCACGAACAGGGATCACGCCGGCAGGCCTAGAGATTGACACTAACACCAATGTCGGCGGTGGTGTGCCTCCACCGATGGAAGCTGTTCCCCGATGGAAGCTGTTCCCCGATGGTGACATTCGGGCTTCCTAAGTGGCCCAAATATCATTACCAGCGCCAGATCATCTTCCTCCGTTGGAGGCAGCCCCCTGTGTTGGTGTTGGTGCCCATTCCAAGTTATCCAGTAACGATTTCAGGACATCAAAGAGGAGTGATTCACCAACTCACTCTTCCAGCTCGTAGAGCGATTCGTTGCCAGTGACAGGATCCAGATACCAGATATCGTCGCCAGCTCTGTTTGCTATGCTCTCTCATCCTACGTTCCCCATTCCCCCCCCCCCCGCGTCGTTTGACAGCTGCTTGCCTCGAACAGCTGGGATTGAATTCGATTCAGCATTCCTTGACTTCCTTGTGCAGTCCGTGTGCAGAACCTCGATTTGACCAAATCCTGTCCAGAGAAAGATTTCCTGGAGCTAGTGGAGAACCTTCTTGGGACCCGACGGCAGGGAACAGTCCTCTGCTCCAGACAGGTCTAAGCATCAGTTCCCAGAGCTCGCTCAGTGGATTCTGCATGTGTCGGACGCGCCAGCCTCGTCAGCGAGGCCATTGCGCCCCGAATTGCCCCTCCGCAGCCATTTTGGCCATCAGGGCGGGTGCAGCTGGGGAAAATCCGGGGCTTCCTGCTCGGAGGGCGCCCAGGCGCAGCAGCTCGTGGAAGCGCAAGCGTGGATTCAGGCGCGTGGCTGCGCGACGGGCCGCGCTTCCCTGCCAGACTAGCGCGCTCCGCCGAAGCAGGCGGCATGGGCGCCATGTTGCGGGGGAGACGTTCCCCGATCCGTGGATCTGGCGCCCATGCGCAGTAATCGGACCCGACTTTGTTCCCAGAGGCACCGCGACCCCGCCAGGGGCGAGGCCGAGGTGCTAGGTGAGCTTCTTTTGCTCAGCCAGCTCTGCTGCTCCAGTCTTGCACTGGCACCCAAACAGGTGCAACAATCTGGATCCACGGATCCCTAATCCATGCTAGCGTGTGCCCGAGCCGCGACCGACGCGCGCGCCGCGCAGCCATGGCGGCGGCGGTGGCGGCGCAGCCCCAGCCGCCACGCGAGGCGCTGCGGCAGCTGCTCCGCGCGCATCCGCGGGTGCACCCCGGCAGCGCCGCGGCCGCCGAGTTCTGCGCTGCTGGCCTGGGCGCCCTGCCGTGCATGGAGTGGGACGAGGATTCGAGGGGAGAAGCGCGATGACCATAAAGCATAAAGCATAAGCTTTTGGCGCTCCACGCGGATTTCTTGGATTCGCGCTGGACCCCCCTCCCTGGCGCGCGGAGCGCGCCAGAGGCGGCGCCAGAGGCGCAGCTGGGGGGCCCAGGCGCGGATCCAAGACATCCGCGTGGAGTGCCAGCAGTTTATGTTTATGTGTTTTTTCTTCTTCTAGAGAAAGGCGATGACCATGACCAAGATGTCGCGGGACCTCGTCGACGCCGATCTTGGCCATGGTCCGTGCTGTCGAAAAACTACATCAACCAAAACTTTTGGCGCTCCGCGCGGATTTCGTGGACCGGCGCCCGGGCCCCCCAGCGGCGCCTCCGGCGCCGCCCTTGGCGCGCTCCGCGCGCCAGGGAGGGGGTCCAGCGCGAATCCAAGAAGTCCGCGCGGAGCGCCAACAGTTTATGATTATGTATTTTTTTCTTCTAGCGAAACGCGATGACCATGACCAAGATGTCGCGGGACCTCGTCGACGCCGATCTTGGCCATGGTCCGTGCTGTCGAAGAAGAAGAGGAAGCTAAGCAAAAATAATTTTTTGGCGCTCCGCGCGGAACTCCCACAGTTTATGCTTATGTGTTTGTTTTTCTTCTAGAGAAGCGCGATGACCATGATCAAGATGGCCCGGTTACCTCGTCGACGCCGATCTTGGCCATGGTCCCTGTTGTCGAAGAAGAAAAGATCACATAAACATAATTTGTTGGCGCTCCACGTTGAGCTCCAACAGCTTATGCTAATGTTTTTTCTTCTAGAGAAACGCGATGACCATGACCAAGATGTCGCGGGACCTCGTCGACGCCGATCTTGGCCATGGTCCGTGCTGGCCGTCGCGGATTCGCGAGGATGGCCCATGGCGCGGACGGTGACCAATAGGCGAACGGTGGCCAAGACCGACGCCGACGCGTCAGCCCAACGTACTTATACTATATGTGCGTCGCCCCCCAGCGGCGACGCGCGCACCGAGAAATCTTATAGTACATGCGTCGTGGCGGGCGCTTTCTGGCCACACCGCTCGGGAAACGATATACTACAAGATGGGTGTACTATATGTTCGGGTCGGACGCGCGCCTCCGAGGAGGACATACAGTATTCGTATGTCTCTGTGCGTCCCAAATTTGCGCTGAGCATTGGTCGTGGGCCGTTTTCGTTTCGACTTCGTTTTGCGGTAGAGGTGGATTGAAGACAAAACGAGGGAACACGAAGACAGAGCGAACACGAAAAACACCGTTCAATTCGGTTCAGCCCTGTTCTCTGTCCCTCCCGAGGGGGCCTCGCGGCCCTGGGGGCGCCTTCTCGAGAGCCCCGCGCGGCAGAGCCCCTTGCCGCCGAGCGGCGCGCCGGGCGGGGGACGGAGGGCGCCAACTGCACACCTCCACAACCTCGGTGGCTTTCCACCACCACCACGAGGACGAGGAGGATGAGGAGGAGGAGGAGGAGGAGGAGGAGGAGGAGGAGGAGGAGGAGGAGGAATAGAAGGAGCAGGAGGAGGAGGAGGAGGAGGATGAATAGGAGGAGCAGGAGGAGCAGGAGGAGCAAGAGGAGGAGAAGGAGGAGGATGAGGAGGTTGAAGAGGAGGAGAAGGAGGAGGAGGAGGAGAAGGAGGACTCCCTCCCCCTCCAACTCATGGTGGTGGTGGTGGAAATTCAGGCCCACCAAGCCTGCAACGAGCCTGGTCAGGCCGAGCCTGGGCCCAGGATCGGTGCATATCGCAGTCCAGATGGGGCACTAACCCTCCTTAGGATCCGCCGCGGGGGAATTGGGTACGTGCTGTCGGAGTGAGTGGAGGGGGGGGGGGCCGGAGGAGGAGGAGGAGGAGGAGGAGGAGGAGGAGGAGGAGGAGGAGGAGGAGGAGGAGGAGGAGGAGAAGGAGAAGGAATGCGTCCGGATCGGCGCTCAGAGGAGGAGGAGGAGAAGGAGGAGGAGGAGGAGGAGGAGGAGGAGGAGTGCGCACTCCGCCACCTGGATGGAGCAATATCCCCCCCCCTCTCAGAGGAGGAAAAGGTACCCTCTTTTCGTTTTCCCTTTTTTGGGCCTCCTGGGTCTCCGTCGTCGCCACCGCCGGATTCGCTCCGAAGTCCTGGTCAGAACGCACCCTAGAAGCGGTTTTGGGAGTAGCGGTATCGGTGCCGTTTGGCCCCCCCCCCTCTTAGATCCGCTGGGGGGGAAGTTGGGCACGTGCTGTCGGAAGGGGTGGAGGAGGGGGGGGCCGGAGGAAGAGGAGGAGGAGGATCAGGAGGGTGGGGGGGGAGGATGGAGGGGGAGGAGGATCAGGAGGAGGCTGGATGGGGGAGGAGGAGGAGGAGGATCAGGAGGGGGAGGAGGATGGATGGGGGCGGGATCGGTCAGACCCAGTCAGAAGGTTGATAATCCCCCCCCCTTTGATGAGCAGCCCATCTGGAGTACTGCCTCCCTGGCCAAGCCAGGAGGGCATCTGCCTCTGCCGATCCTTGGCCCATAGGATGTGCCCGGCCAGGGCCGGTGTGTACGGCGCCCCTCCCGGAAGGGGGGCCGACCGAGCCCGCCCCCGGCGAGCCGCCGCGGCTGGTGCCGCCGCCAGGCGGCGGCGCAGGCACGCCGGAGGATCAGGAGGGGGAAACAGATATTGACACAGAATCGTCGATCCTCAGGACAATATATATATATATATATATATATATGTATATATATATTATATATATATAAGTATATGGCGATCTGTATGTGTGTGGATGTGTATACTTTTGTATACATCTAAACATGTATATATCTCATATGTACACATATGGGGAAGCATGGGAAGTAGCGGGGGAGGGGGCGAGGATCCAGAACATCTTAGAACATCCACGGAAGCCCGGGAGATCCTGACATGCTCTGCAGCTATTTCTGCGTGTCTCCCTGGGCCCCTATTGGAGGAGGCGACGCCCTCGAGCGCCGCGAGCCCCGGCAGCGGTGGGCGCCGCCCCGCCGGCGGCGCCGCGCCGCACAGGCAGCAGGCGCACGCCGCGGCGCCGGCGGGCCCGGAGCCCGCGGAGGCACCGCGGGCGGAGTCCGGCGCCGACGGGCAGCCAGAGGAGGACCATTTTCTGGGCTTCCCAGCTGGGGTCCGAGTAGGCTCTATCGAAGAAGAAGAAGAAGAAGAAGAAGAAGAGCCACATACACATAAACTTTTGGCGCTCCGCGCGGGTTTCTTGGATCCGCGCTGAGCCCCCCCGGCGGCGCCTCCGGAGCCGCCCTCTGGAGCCGCCCCTGGATCCGCGCGGAGCGCCAAAAGTTGAGGTTTATGTGGTTTTTTCTTCCTCTATTCTAGGCCTCCTAGATGAGGTCCGAGTAGAAGGGGTCGGAGGATCGCGCTGCATCGCCGATGCATCGCCGATGCGGCTCGATGTGGAGCCCGATTTTTCCGCGCTGGCGTCGCCGAAGCTCCGCCGACGTCGCCGATGCATCGCCGATGCGGCGTGATCCTCCGACCCCATCTGCGTGGACCCCATATAGGAGGCCTCTATGTATACGAAACCGATCGTAAGGATGGGTAGCCTTCCCAAGGGTCCCCTTGCATCCTTGCCTCCTCGGCCGGTCCTGAACCCCTTTCGACGGCCAGCCCCTCTCGCAAGGTTTCGACATGCTTGTCCAATGGGCTTGCATCCTCACCGCGCGTCCTTCCTATCGGGTTTGACTGTAGATGGGATCGGCGGATCGCGCCGCATCGCCGATGCATCGGCGATGTGGCTCGATGTGGCCATGCCAACGTCGCCGGTGCAGCGCCGACGTCGCCGATGCATCGGCGGTGCGGCGCGATCCTCCGACCCTATCTGCCCGGACCTCGGGTGGAGCCTCTACGTCTGCGACCACTTGCAAACCCTGCTCCTGGCGGGTCCCATCGACGCTGGTGTAATATCGGTCACCCCTGCTGGGGCTCGCTTGGCTGCAGACGTCCTTCAAATCCTCACCCCCCCCTGCAGATTCTGAGCCCGAGCCGACTTCTGCAGAAGTCTGGCCCGCAGGGGTAATTGGGGCTCGCATGCGCCTGGAGTCGGCAGTTCGATGATGGGGACCTGAGGGATAGGGCCCAATGGGTAGGAAAGCCTGCGTACAGTCGGGGTGGATTGAAGCTGACACGCGAGGGGACACAAGACTTTTCTGATGGCCAGATTGCCTTGTGGGAGCCTTTATGGACAAGTGCGAGCTTGTGGTCCCTGGTGGGAGGGCGCCGGTTGACCTGGCGGGGCTCTTCCCTGCGCCGCTGCTGGCGGACCCTGACACCGGCGCCAGCCGCGTGATCTCGCAGGGCGGCTTCAAGCTCCTCGGGGCGCCGATCGGGGACTTGGCGTTCACAGAAGCCTTTACCGAACGCCGCGCCTCGAAAGCCCAACCGACCCTTGCCGCGCTGGAGGCCCTCCATCCGCAGGTAGCCCTCTTTTGCTGAGGCAATGCGCGAGCTTTGGGAAGCTCGTATACAGCGCGCGCACGGCGCCTCCGGAGCTCCAGGCACGCGCCCTCCGCGGCTACGATGACGCCCAGCGCGCCGCCCTGGGGGGCTTGCTGGCTGCGGACTTGTCGGACGCCCAGTGGCACCAGGCTGCTCGAGGGTTCGCGTACGCTGGCCTGGGCCTGCGGCGGCTGGAGGCTCACTCGGCGGGCGCCTACCTGGCCAGCCTCGGCGCCACGCGGCGCCTTTGCGCTGAGCTGGACGCGGCGTACGGCTGGGCGCCGGAGGACGCGGGCACTCGGGCCGGAGCCGCCCTCGCCGCGTACAACGCGCAGCTCGCGCCGGCTGCTGGCCAGCGCCCGGAAGCGCTTGAGGGGGTCAAGCAGAAGGGCCTCTCTGCCGCTCTCGACGACTACTGGCACAGACACTTCTTCGAGGCCCTCGGCGCAGCTGACCGCGCGGACATCTTGTCCGAGCAGCTCCCAGGCGCGTCGGACTTCCTGGAGGCCGCGCCCAACGACAAGCTCGGTCTCCTGTTTGAGCCGGAGGAGTTCCTCACCGAGGTGCGACGGCGACTGCTGCTGCCCGTCTACGACGCGGACCACTTCTGCCCTTGCTGCGACGAGCCGTGCGACAGGCACGGCCGCCACGCGGGCCTCTGCGCGTGCGCAGGAGACACGGTGCGCCGGCACAGCGCCGCGCGCAACCAGGTCGGTCGTTTCGCCGCGGTGGCCGGCTGCAACCCGGAGCTGGAGAGGCCGGGGCTCCTGCCGCCTCGCCCAGACGACGACCGTGCGCTTGGTCGCCGCCCTGCCGACGTGTACATCCCGAGCTGGCACCTCGGCGCGCCTGCTGCTTTCGATTTTGCGGTATCTTCACCGCATCGGCAGGCTGCCCGGGGTTTGGCTTTCGAAGGGGGAGGGCGCGCGGCCAGCGCGTACGAGGCGGTCAAGCGCGCCCACCTGGACACGGAGGTCCTGCGCAGGCAGCAGGGGATCCTGTTCATCCCCCTCGTTGCCGAGCCTTCGGGCGGCTGGGGCCCGACCGGGGCCGAGACGCTCCGGCGTCTGGCGCAGGCAAGCGACGCTCGGCTGGGCGAGGAGCCGGGCGCTGGAGCGAAGCGCTTGTTCCAGCAGCTCTCGGTCGCCATCCGCAGGGCCTCGGCGCGGGCCGTCTTGCGGAGACGCGTCGAGGACAGCCCGGCAGGGGGCGCCGTCGCGGCAGCCCGGGACGTTCTTGCCGACGACAGCGAGTGATCCCTGCTCCGCCCTGCTGCCCTCCTTCCCTTCCCTCCCCCTCCCCCTCGACCGCTAGACACGCAGTTGCGCGCTCGCTGATATCCGCTTCTTTTATGAGTGGCACCAGAACTGTTTTTTCCAGGCGCAGTCGAAGGATCGACGGCCTGCCGCTGCTTCTCTAATTCGTGCCGTCTTCCATACCGTTTTCTCTTGCCCCTCCTCGTCCTCGCCCCCCCCTCCCTCCGCTCCAGCGTTCGTCCCAGGCCTTAGATGTTGCTTCGCTTTTGTTTCGTTTCGGTCGCTCCTGCGCTTGCGCGCGTCCCGCCTTCCTCTGGTTTTGCTGCGTTGGGCTGCCTGTGTTCTCAGGGCCTGGCCTCCCTTCGTCGGGGAGGGTGGCGGGGTGTCCGAATAAGAGTGTTCCGCGGCTGATCGCCTTGGCCCCGAAAGGGGGCGCGACGATGTGTACTGGCAGTCTAGTTGTTGTGACGCTCAGACGTGGGCCCTATGGCCAGATTGCCAGTGGAACGTAGGGGGCATAGGTCGCGAAAAACAGGACACGAGGGTACCCTTGTCGGGGCGGGGTCGACCTACTAGTCAAATTCGACTGTACCCCAAGGGGCGCGAAGAGAATCGCGCTTCGCGCGTCGAGGCTCTGGTTGGAGATGCGCCCGTCTCCAGGGCGGCCTCGCGGGGCGCCCGGATTAGAAGTGCGCGTCGCGCGCATTGCGGGGCGCGGTGCCCCCTCGAACCGCCGAGAGAGGAGCAGCCCGGCGCCACCGCTGGGCTGCTGGCCTGCGCCGCGGATGAGGAAGCGCTGCTGCGGGAGCTGGGCGCGCTGGACGGGCGCCGAGGGAGCAGAAAGGCACTGATGCCGCCGCTCCACGGCCCTCTCCTGGTCTGGCGCGGCCAAGAGGGGGGCGATGACTTGTGGGGTGGGTGGACATCGTGCCTGGGGCCATGACGTCCCCTAGATCTCAGGGTCTTTTCTTGTGTTTGGTTTGTTTTTTTCGTCGTCTTCTTCTTCTTGCATTACGTCTCCTGGCTCTCCCTGGGCCGCGCACTTGCTTCGGGCCATGATTTGCGAAGCGCTCTTGGACGCCCCCTTCTTGGAAAACCCCGACTTGAGTGTCGTTCTGACCAGGATTCCGACGCGGATCCGGCCTTGGCAACGGGGCAAGAGTGGCGGCATCGGTACTTTCTCTTTTATGCCTCTCAGTTAGGGGTTGTCATCGGAGTAGATGGGGTCGGAGGATCGCGCCGCATCGTCGATGCATCATCGATGCGGCTCGATGCGGAGCCCGAATTTCTCCACGCCGAGAGCGCCGATACCTTGCCGACGTCGCCGATGCATCGGCGATGCGGCGCGATCCTCTGACTCCATTTGCTCAGACCTCAGCTGGCTGGGCGGCCTCTACTTTATCTTGCGACCCTGACTTGCAGACCCCGACCTAGACCCACGGTAGCGGTAATCGGTACCTTATCATTCGGTAGCAAATCACGGGAACATCGTATGTCCTCCCAATCCCGTTTTTAGTCGAGTGCATTCGCGTGCGTTGGCGTTTGGTGACCGACGCGAGAGAGCGCCGCTTTAGCGTCGATCGGCGTCGATTCGGCGTCGATTGGCGTCGACTAGCATCGATTAGCGTCGGCCAGCAAGTCGGCACAGTCAAGACGCTGAGGTAAGGACCACCTTTGGTTTGGGATTTCGGGGAACAGTTATTCGGGGCCGAGGCTCGCTGTGGTCAGGAAAGCCCATCCGCTTCTTCTTCGGCGTTCCTTACGGTAGCACAACGACTCGGGGTAGGGTCTTTGGGTGGCGTCTCTGGTTGGCGTCTCTAGGTTTAAGTCGGGCCTGTCCCTCTACAGGAGGAATATTCAAAGATAGTCAAGAAATAGTCTGGGGACGATTGTTCTATGTTTTTGACCACTTCAGTACTTTCTGATTACAGTTTTCGTCGAAGATCGGCCTGTAGGGGGACATGCCCGACCTAACTCCAGGTGCGGCCTCAAGGCGGATAATCTCTGAGCGGGAAATCTGCTGCATGGGAGGTCCCCACGCGTTGCCACCGGATCTTCCTCCGTTCACCTGGCCCCACCCTCGGACGTGCGCATTTTCCTGGGCGGGGACCCCTCGAGGAGCACGCGGGATCCCTGTCGAACAAGAAAAACACGAGCGCACGAGATCGGAACCCGCCCGGGAAACGGACGTCCGAGCGACGGCAAAGCTCAGGCGCCTGCCGGCGGGCGGCCCGCCCGTGGCCCGCTGGGCCTCGGAGGCCTCCGCCGGCGCCCCGCCGGCGCCGCGCGCCCCGGGCCTCGGCACGGCGGCGGCCCGCGGGGGCAGCAACCTCGGCGGCCCCCACACGGGGCGGTGACCGCACCGTGTGGCGAGTCGGTGACCACACCGGATGCAACTCCTGGGAGGTTAAATTCTGACGTTGCCCTGGTCCGAAATCCGGCTTATAGTCTGGCTTAATCCGGCTTCGAATCCCGCTTACAATCCGGCACGATCCCGTTCAATGCCGCTTCATCCGGCTTCATCCTGACTATAGTCCGAGGCCCATTCCGGCGTAACAGCTCCCAACTGGGGCTTCATCCGATCTAACTTTTCCGACGAAGACCTCCCAGCAGTTGCCTCCTGGCCCACGCGGGGCGGTGACCGCGGCCGTGCGGCGAGTCGGTGGGGATTTCGAGGTCGCCCCGCGGTTCTGGGGTCCCGCGGGCCCCTCCCCGAGGCCGCCTCGGGCGGCCGGGGGGGGTCTCCCGGGGACCCCCGAGGCCGTGCGGCCTCGGGGGACTCCAGGGCCGCTCTGGGGCTCGGGAGGGGCTCGGGTCTTCGCGGGCCGCTCCCGGGGCGGCCCGAGGCTCGCCGCGGCCGGGGAGGCCTCTCCGTTCCTCAGCTCTGGCGTGCCTCGGGCAGTGGCGAAGCGTCATGTTCTAAGAACCTTTTGTGGTTTGAGCGAAATGTTCTTCGAGCATTTCTGGCGGAGCCTGTCTTGTTTTAACACATCGGGCTGATGTTCTAAGAACACTGTTTTTGTTCTTAGAACATCTTTGGGTACAAGAACACTTCGTGGTAGGACTATAGGAATGCCCGGACGGGCGGTCCCTGCTCAAGTTCCGGGTGCTGGCGCGCTGGCTAGCGGTGCACCTGGGCCGATCTTGGTCGGGCCTGTCCTAGGCCCGCCATCGGTGTCCGTCTCGGGGGCCCGAGAGGGACACGGAGACATTCCAGGCCTCCCAGATGGGGTCAGGATGATCCCCGAGGGTCTTCTGTTTTGGTCCCCCCCCCCTGTTTCTCTCTCTCTCTCTCTCTCGGCGGGGAATCAAACTCGTCCCCCCTCTTCCTCCTGCTCCTCCTCCTGCTCCTCCTCCTCCTGCTCCTCTTTCTCCTCCTCATCCTCGTCCTCCTCGTAGTCGTCATCGTCGTTGTTGCGCGGCGGGTGCCGCGGAGAAATAATTTTTTTCGGTAATTGGTGGGGCCCCAGTCTGTCAATAAGGGTGTCGGACAGATAACTAGTTTCCACTAAGAGGGGGGCGGTGTATCAAAGACCCTTTAGGGTTAGACAGGGTCGAAGGATCGCGCCGTATCCCCTATGCATCGGCAATGCGTCTTGACGTGGAGCTTGATTTGATCCACGCCGACGTGCCCGATTTATCGCCAGCGTTTCCGATGCCTCACCGATGCATCGGCGATGCATCGGGGATGCGGCGCGATCCTCCGACCCCATCTACTCGGACCACATTCTGCGAGGCCTCTAAACATAGGGTACGGAGACGCGGAGGTTCCTGTCCTCTTGGGGCAGGACTCGCTGTCGGCATCGCCGTGGACGTTGTCCGCCTTCTTGCCCAGGCCAGCAGGGCGTCCACACCCATCCTTTGCCCAGGATGGTCCTGGCCAGGATCGGCGAATCAGTTTGAGGGGGCCGAACGGTCAATCATTGTCCCTGGGTGCGTGCCAGAATTCGCGTTCCGTCCGGCGGATTCTGCCTGTTGTGCTGTTGCTTTGTCGTCGTCCTCTCCCGCGACCCGCCCGCGACTCACCCGCGACCCACCCCGTGACCCACGCCGCGAACCACCCCGCCCCCGCGCCCTCACTCTTATCCGCAATTGCGGGATGCTACGTACGGTGGGGGCGTTGATTAAGGAATGTGCCCAGGAGGCTTCAGACCCTGGGGGATTCCATATCTGATGAGGGCGGCAGTCGTATCCATGGCTAAGCCACGATTGGAGTTCCATCGGCTTCCAGAAGACCCTGGATTCCTCATCCAATGGTTCTTTATCCCATGCCCCCACTGCCTCACCGTAGTTCAGGCACGCGCAGAGGGGGGCAGGGGGAGGGCGGCAGGCTCCTTCCAAGCACCCCTGCTCAGAGTTCGCGGACCTTCTGAGAAGCAGCCTCCTTCTAAGAAGCCTTCCCCCCTCCGCGGCCCCCCCCCCCTTTCTGCGCGCCGCCACGTCGTGTGCAGTCGGCGCCCTCCCAGGGGGGCGCCGGGGCGTCGCCTCGGCCGCCGCCGCCGCGGCCGCGCGGGACGCCCGCCGCGCCCCGGGGCGCGCGGCAGCAGCGCCCGCCCCGCCCGCCGCCGCCCTGAGGGCGGCGCGCCGGCGGCCGTTCCGAGGGAGGGGTCGCATGAGGAGAGTCTGGGCCACGCGCAGAGGGGGGCAGGGTCGACGAATGTCACGACGGGAGGTTTTTCTCTTCATTTTCAGCCGCTGGGGGTCCTTCGTCTGGGCCCCTGGACCGTCAGAACACAACTCAGGATTCGAAACGGGTCCCAGGGAATGGGTCGAGACCCCGGGGGGAGTCCACCTCATGACAAAATCATTCATGACGTCGGGGGTCTGGGAGGGGGGGTGGGGGAGGGGGGAAGGCTTCTTAGAAGCATCTACGGACGTAGGGCCAGCCCCTTCTAAGAACCAGCCTCCTTCTAAGAAGCCTTCCCCACTCCCCCTATCCCCTTGCGCGCGCCGCTGAAGAGTCGACGAAGAAAGAACGGCATAAACAGAAACTTTTGGAGCTCCCGTGGATTTCGTGGATCGGCGCCTAGGCTCCCCCTGGTGGCGCCACTGGCGCCGCCCGCTCCACGTGCCAAGGAGTAGGGTCCAGCGCAGTTCCCAGAAATCCGCGCGAACCGTCCGAAGTTTATGTTCCTGCAGTTTTTTGTTCCTCTAAGACAGGGCTGCGCGCAAGAGTGACCCTGTACCGGAGTGGCAATTGATGCGCCCGCCCCCCCCACTGGTCCGTGCGCTTAGCCCCGCCGCGGCCCCCTAGAGACTCGCACAAAGGGTCATTCTCTGTCCAGGGTCACTCTGGCGTGTAGCCAGGAGGAAACGGCGCAGATCTCCGACAGTGTGGTTTTGTTTCATCTCAGCGGGTTTTCCTCGATGTCAGCCCGATCGGGGGTGAAAATGGATCTGGGGCGAAAATCTACCCAGGGGAAGCGGTAGGGACAGGGAGGGCGCGGATTTAAGAAGTCCGTCGGATGGATGTCAGGGGAGGGGCCAGGAGAGGAAAGGATAGCGATGCCACTGCTTTTCCTTCGTCGCCACGGCTGGATTCGCCTCGAAATTTCGGTCCAGGTCCTTGGAGCATCGGTGTCGTTACTTTTCTGTTCCCCCAAGAGGCTGTCCAGGGTTCTTCCCGCTGGCCTCGGCCCCCGATGAGGCCCCTCTGGGGGCCTCGGAGGCCATCATCGGCGACTCGAGATGAGAATCTGGTTCTCGGAGGGGCCCCGGGGTCCAGGATTTGCGGCCACGTGCGAATCCCACCCCTGCGGGTACACCCGACGCGGAAGTATTGTCGGGGG